GCCTTCCTGGGGTTCTGCTAGCTTCTGCAACAGAGGCATTGCTGGTGCAACAGCACTTAGTGTAGGACTTTGGCTAGATGGGATTGACTTTGGGTATAAGTGCATTATGGATGCTAGAGCCGAACCTTCAGTATAAAATAGGCCACGTGGTTTCCACAACGGAATAATGAAAGGAATTAAATTTGTAGTGTGCTAATGAGTTAAGCCTGAGATGTTTATAGATTAGGTGATAAAAGTACTTTAAATGGAAGAAGGACGTGGATCTGTTGGAGCAGGGCCAGAGGAGGGCTACTAAAATGATCCAAGGGCTGGAGCCCCTCTGCTATGAGGCCAGGCTGGGAGAATTGGGGGTGTTCAGCCTGGAGAAGGGAAGGCTGCGGGCAGAGCTGAGTGCGGCCGGTCAGGGCTTCAAGGGGGCCCAGAGGAAAGGGGGGGACAAGCTTTTTAGTAGGGCCAGCTGGGACAGGACAAGGGGGGATGGCTTTAAACTGAAGCAGGGGAGGTTTAGACTGGATGTAAGGAAGAAATTCTTTCCAGTGAGGGTGGTGCAACCCTGGCAGGGGTTGCCCCGAGAGGGGGTGGAGGCCCCATCCCTGGGAACATTCCAGGCCAGGTTGGATGGGGCTGTGAGCAACCTGATGTGGTTCAAGGTGTCCTGCTCCTGCAGGGGGGTTGAGCTGGGTGGCCTCTGGGGGTCCCTTCCAGCCCAAAGCATTCTGTGATTCTATGATAAATGAAGATGGCCGTGCCAGATATTGGTGAAATCAGCCTGTGACTTTCAAGATACTTGCAAAATTCATGTTTGACAGCATTGGGCATTTTTGACATTGTAGTATGGGTGTGATACAGTTCCACTCATGGAATTAAGTATATTGCACAGTTTTTAGCCAGTGGAAATAGTTTACAGAGGTGTGAGTAGAACTGGACGGTTTGGAGAGGGACTCTTTCTATGGGATGAAATATCTCAGGTCTGTTGTTTGCTTTGCTATTACCAGCTGAGGAATTGCATTGCTGACAATAAATGCTAGGGACTTACCTGACTATAGTAATAAGTAGTTTTAAACTTTGTCTTGCCGCTACCGCTCTGCTAGTATCTACCATAATACATTTAATAACTTTCACATTATTATTTATTGTGATGAACTCTATTTAACTCGCCTATTTTTAATCTAACAGCCAATACACAAATCATCCAGTGCATAGTCTGTAGTGGGTTATGAAAAAAAGCCCATCCATTTGATTATATCTTAACTTGGAATGTATATTTTCAATCCATGGAATAAGATATTTGAACAGAGAAAAAGGCCCAACTTACTGCATAATATTATCCATTGCAAATTACTTTTTCACCTCTCATCAGCATTATACCTTTATCTCCAGAGTGGAATGGAAGGCAGGTATTAATATTCAAAACCAACACAGGACATTAGATATTACATATCACTGTACAGAAGATCCAGAAATAGATGATTTACTTTAAAGGGGATAATCAAAGAAAGCTAATCAAAAAGCTAATCAAAAAGAATATTTAAAGTTGCCGTGATCATGATCCATAGGTACATATACAGGGGGAAGATAACAAGTACTAAAGGATGTTTAAGCTTTCTGAGATGAATGCGTAATAGAAATTGCTAAGTTTGGACTGGACAAGTAAGATCCCAGCTTGTAAACTGGGGGAAAAACAGGGGACAACCACGTAAGAAATCATCTTTCAGATGGGTTATGGTAAATATTCTATTATTAAACTGTTTAAATGGGGATTGCGTAACTTTCTCAGAACCAGCCTCTGCTTTCCTCTTTTGGCACTGATGCAGGGAGGTGAGGGTGCAGTTCTGGGGTGTTTTTATGCAGGAGGTCAGATAATTTGTCAGTATGAGCCCATCTGGCCTTAAAAATCCGATGGTACAAACCTTGAAGCGTGCCTAAGAGGAGGCACGCAGTCACATGGAACAGATCACTGCTGAAGAAGAAAAAACATGTAAAAGGTAGTAATGAGGAGAGGAGCGATTTGAGGATGTCTTAAGAAGTTTTGAAGAAAGAGGGCTCCTGGCAGTTGATGTCTGGGATAGAAGAAGTTCAAAGGGAAGTATAAACCCAAAATCAGGAGAAGAAAACCAAAGGAGATACGAGATAAAGACTGCTCTGAGCATGAGGAATACATCAGGAGAGGAAAAAACAGTGATTTAGAAGTAGGATAAATAATAAAGAGCTTTGCAGACGTGAAATAAGGGCCTGAGCGTTTTGCAGAAAAGACAACAGCTGAAGGGTTCCAGTGGTCTGTACAATGTTTTGATGCTGTGAAAGAAGTAGAAGATGAGCTGTGAGGAGGAAAAAGCCTTTTCCAGCAGTTAGAAGACTCATGAAAAGAAGAAACAGAAGTAGTCAATGACACACCAGACGATCATATACATGACCCAGTGATCAAAGCACAGAGTGACATACCTAATCTAAAAATCTTTCTTTCACGCAAGTAAAAACCGAACCATCATGCTCAACGTCTCTTCCCTTCCTCCTCAGAATTTGCTCACGGTTGTGAGCCAACCCTTGCGAGTTCTGGGGCAGAGGAGTAGTTAGCAAGCAAAGCGTGCATCAATAGCTGTTGCTTTGGTTACAAAGGCACATGAGCATGTACAGTCGTGACAAGTTATTTTCAGCTTTACACTGTGAAATAGGGAGAATATTAATAAAAAAAAAAAGATGATGTTACCTCTGCTTGGTCTCTCTGTGGTGGAAAGTCCCAGTGCAGTGTCACACGCTACATCATACTGCATAATTGTTGCTGTGTGCTCTCATGACATTGAAGTCACCCCTGATGCTGAGTGCACAGAACTCATCAGCTCGGGAAGGAAAAGGTTGTTACTGGTGCTGGGGATATATCTTCATGAACAGCGTTTCTTAAGTGCTAGCTATTAACTTGAGTGGGAGCGGTACTGGGCACCCAGCTGCCTCTGCCGCGTGTGTGTCAGCATATAGATACTGCTGAATCCTTAGCCCACGCTAAGGCATACGCACAAAAGGCACAAAATTGCAGAGCAATCTCTGTCTCCCAGTGAAAATCAAGCACGGTGGGGGATCAAACAAATGCTTAGATCTCTACTGACATTTCAAAGCTTCTGCAGGCAAAGATGACAGCAGCTCAGGTTCAGGGGAAAGGCAGAGAAGGCGTGGGAATAGGGCATGAGCAGCGTGGTGGTGCCTCTTGGTACCACAGGGGTGCAGGGACGCCCACACAAGGACTCTCCGTCAGGAAGAGAAATGAACTGTGATCTCTGGACAGAGCAGGGATGAACCAGAGTCCTACCGCAGCCAAAATAACTTTGTATGGTGATGCTGATATTGTGTGATGATGCTGATATCGTATGGTGATGCTGATACTGTATGATGATGCTGATACTGTATGCTGATGCTGATATTGTATGGTGATGCTAATGGCTGGAAGCAATTCTGTAGCCCCTCTTCTGGTTTGGTTCATTCCCACCTTCGCCCAACCACAGCTTCTGGTTTAGACTCTGTGAGAAAGCATAGTGATGAAGCTTGTCCTTCCTGCCACTTTTTGGGCCCCATTACATAGCGGGACACTCTGAACCCCTAGGGGAGAGGACAGCTATGACAGCTCCTCCTTTAAAGGTTTATTCTTTGAAGCTTCATGTCCATGACATCAAGAAGGGAAGTCAATGGATACCAGTGTTAAGAGACAAAAAAAGACATTCCATTCGAAGAAATGACCCCTTCATAAAACCTGTTTGTGAACTCGAGATTTTAAACGAGTCTGACCCAGTGGGAAAAAAAAATCACACTGTTCTGTACAGAAGAAATTCTCTGCTGGAAAGCATATAAGAAAGTTCACAGGCACTGCAAACACTAGCCCAGTGGGTAATTCTCTGAATGAGATGCACTTTGCACTCACAGCAGTACTGAAATTCAGCAGCTCCCAGGACTGAGATTTATTCAATTTTACCAATAAGAATGCAATTAATAATAGTTTTAAAAAGGAAGAATTTACTGTGTGAGTGAAGGTGAAAGACCAGATTCTGATCTTTATTACTCCGGCTTATGATAGACAGATTTTGCACCACTTCACATAAAGTGCAGATGTCACAGACGTTCTCAGAGAATAACCCCCAAACAAACGGGATCGGAATCAAACTCTGAAATTTAATCTCAAGGGACATATATTGTTCCTAGTATCATTAAATTCCTTGTGTGGAGAAGGAGGACCTGAGGGCCAGGCCCACTCTGGGAGGCAGAAGGGTCCTCCACCACCGGAGGCCCAAACGCTGCAGTCCCTCTGAAATGCGCTTGGGTTGCATCAAAACAGGGGCTTTGAAGGCTGGGACACCACAGGCAGTGATAAGACCACCCAGCAAAAAGCCTCTCCCAGCAAAGGATCTAGCATCCTCCAAGTGTGCAAGGGCTCTCCTCAGAGCCGAAGGGGGTACCCTTAAACTTAAAGTTGTGCTGATGTGGCTGAACAGCCATCTCAAATAAGTATCGCTCAAGAGACGAGTCTCATTGAAGTCAATGGTCTACTCCTCACATAAGTAATCTTTGTAGTCCAGGGTCCTACCCAGCCATCCTTCACAGAGCACTTTAGGTTCCTCCGAGACCATTCGTTACAGTCATTTTTTCCTCCCCTTCCGGTTGAGGAGTTTGGAAAAGTGTCAGAGGATTAGTATCATGCAAATTGCAAAAGGAGAGTGTCACTAAAGTAGGAAGACTTCACAAAAAATAGCTTAGGGGACTCTACAGTATCCAGAATTAAATTTTATAGCAGTCCATAAAATTGAAGTATGAGCCAAGGGTTAACAACCTTGAATTTTGCCCTTAAAATTAGTCCAAGAAAATCTACTTCATTATAAATACGGTAGTACTATATAGTGCCCTGTTGATTGATATGCCCAAGAGCTACCTTTGTCGGCAGTTTTTTAAGCAGTAATCCTTCATTTTGGTCTTAATGGTGGGATGGGCACCTCCTTCCTCATTGGGCTATCAATTTTTACCTGCCAATACAGTTTGATGAGCTTGCTTATACGCTGCTCAGTGCCTCCTGTCAGCCAGTATATATAGTCAGCAATCATGGCGCTCCTGATGACAAAAGCAAAATAAATGAGTGTACAGGGAGAGAAGGATGTATGTAGGAGTATTTAAAGGAGGTAGTATTAAAGGAGTGTAACATGGGGTTTGTATCAAGTGATTACACATAACTCTCAGTCTTTGTCCGACTTTAAGACAAGCATTAGTAAACATTTCTTAGCTGGTTAAACGATCTGCAAGCAAACAAGGCTACATTTTCTTTTAATAGCTTTTCCATATTTTAATCCAAGCAAATATTTAATGACTGCTCTACAATATTTTAGCCTGGCTTTTCTTTTTTTGCTTTAAAGTTTTTGTGGGTAAAATATCCTATATGTAAGTACCTTTCTTCTAGGACAGCATCAAGGCGTGTAACACCCCGCAGCTTGACAGACTGCGACTATCACTTGTCTATGGCAGACTCAGACATAGTTCACCTTTGATTAAACTAGATCTTAAAAATAAAAACCGACCCAACCCAAAAGTAATCAGCTATCTTGCTACCTAATTGAGTATGCTTTAGTACTCCCACTGTCTGTGACAATCATGGCATTATTCTTTCTAGACTGAGGGATATTAAAAAACTATTGTGGAATGGACATTAATGCAGAGTCTTAACAGACTTTAGAAAATCAGTTTGCTTTTATGGCTGCCTCTCCACACTGCTCTCTGTTTCCTTTCCTCTAGAGATTCCAAATCCAATTAAATGTGACTAGATGTAATTCCAAATTGTCACTTCAGTCAATTAAACATATAATAATCTTGTGTACCTAATTACTAGCACCAAAAGTTTATTTGTTGATGTAGTGCTATCAATGTGTACTTCTGCATGTTCTCCTTATCATTGGCTATATATTAATTGTGCTTTGACATTACTGTAAATTGAATTTGAAATTTCCCCCTAGTTAAAAGTGTCTCACAAACAGTAATCCCAATCCTGTTGTAATACCCTTTCAGAATGTACTTTCCAAGGCTGTATTATGTTCTTAATGAGATATAACCAAAAATACACGGATTTAACAATAAACATTTCAAAGCAGGCCCAGTATCAGGGGGTAACATATTGTTACAAACAGGAGCTGAATCTTCCCTTAGATGTTCTCATACAGCTCCCATTAATTTCACCGGGAGAAAAGCAATTCAGTAGGATCCATGGATTTCTGCATAAGGATTGGATTTAGCCGTAGCTTTATCCAATGCTCATTCAAATCATTGGCAAACATCCTCTTGACTGCACGAGAACAAAGAGCAGTTTCTAATTGAACATCGTTAGCCCAGCTGGCACAGGATGAACGAAGAATGAAATCCTCATTGCCCTGGAAATCATGGGCGAAACTCTCATGGACTCCAAATGGTGCCAGGGTTTAATCCCAGGAATGACATATGGATCCTATGGAAGAAACAGAGGAGGTGAGCAAAGCATCCATCACTGCCTGCTTGACCCAACGCCGGCGATGGTTTTGGGGGAAGACTTTCACTGTGTCCTGAGGTGTAAAGGGGAAATAAGCATGCGGTGCAAAAATGAGGGAAGACAAATCTGTCACGTTATTCTGTATCTTTGGTCTGCTAGAGGTGGTCTACAAAGCTTCCAGCTCCTGTGACAATGGCAGTAGCTGGTACTGCAGTCCCTAGCAGGGCACGCAAACGGTGGTGGCCTCCTGTGGCCAACTTGTCAGAAAGAGAATTATAGAATAGAATAGAATCATAGAATCACTTTGGTTGGAAAAGCCCTTTAAGATCGTGTTCCACCGTTCCCCTAACCCTGCCATCCCACCACTAAACCCTGGCCCTAAGCACCTCATCTCTCCTTCTTTTAAATACCTCCAGGGATGGGGATTCAACCACCTCCCTGGGCAGCCCATTCCAGAGCCTGACAGCCCTTTCTGTGAAGAAATTTTTCCTGATGTCTAGCCTAAACCTGCCCTGGAAAGAGGGGACTTTCAATCTAAATTTAGAGCAATTTTCAAGCACTAAAGCCTTGTCTACTTTGGAGTCAAAGGACTTTTGCAAGCGGTCATTTGCAGTTTGGGGTCCTATGAGTATAGTGCCCCCAACTGCTGTCATTTCAAAGGCTAAAACCGGCAAATCCTTAGCGCCGAGCATCACGCTGTTGCTGCCACTGCGGGAGTGCTGCCATGGGTCGGACGCAATCCGTTGGGCGCACAGACACCCGCGCTGTGCTTTGCCATCCCTTCTGCAGGCCACGGGCTGGTGAAGTGAGGATCCATCCCACCAGCAGGACAACACGACATCCAATTTGTGACCTCCCACTCCTCGGTGGTAGCCAACGCTTTCTTCTCCCGGCGTGGCACTGCGATCAAAGGCGGAGAGGTGTGCAGAGCCCTGGACAAATCTGGAATCAATTTGCAGACAAATTGCTCCATCTTTCTCTGTTTCTCAGCATCAGCTGTAAAATGTGGACGATCATATTTGACTGATTTACCTATTCGGTGTGCAGGTCCTCCTGGTGACGAATCTTTTGCTAATTCGTCGCAGCGTGCTGAGCACGATGTCGCTCTGATCGTGGCAGAGGTCTCCAGGCATCGCTGCACCCCAGACAAATGCCTTTCCTCTTTATTTTTCCTTCTTAATTTGTTCTTACTTAAATAGTAAGAAACGCACTTAGGTTTCAGGCATTCATGTTTAGTTTTTAAATCCCTGCTAGATTCCTCCCATGCTGCCGTGCATCACATCGGGAATGGCGAGGCACATGACATAAAACCCCTCTGACCTTTTTGAGTGCCTCCATCCCAATTTTATTTCTCAGTTCCTCAGCCATCAGGGAGCATACACAGGTCAGGACCGATGCTTGCTACTGTGACCTTGGGGCTTATGAGGGACTTAAAAAATTCAGCTTTCAGAACAAACACAAGAATTAAGGCTCTATGTGGATGGCCTATATCAAACCCCAAATGTGCTCAAGTCAGAGAGTTTTCTTCTGAAGGCCTCCAAGGCTCAATTCACAGAACCAAAGTGACATATGCAATAGGGAACTGTGAATTTCCAGGCGCGGGGACACAGGTGAAATTACGCTGTCTGAATACGGTTACAGGGCTGGGCACTAAAAAATATTTAGGGACCTAAACACTCAGAAACCAAAGAACCGATTGAGATATTTAGGCAGGTTAAAAGCCTGGCTCCCACTGAAACACACGAAGGCATAAAGCACTGAGTTGGGTTCCTGACTCGCAGTGAGGACCTATCCATGTGGCCCATAAAAATCCAGGTAATAAAGGCTTTCAGTAAGAGACTTTGGAGCGCATGAGACACTCTGAAATGGGACTTAAGTAAAATATTATTTAAAGAAATACTATTTATGAAATTATTATTTAAGAGACTCAGCCAGTGGCCATACCCATTAACATCTTTTTCTCTCCTCATGTTATCGACATGGCTGATGTGTGAAGTATATCATGTCAGTATATTACATTATATGTGACTTAGGATGGTACATACACAACCATATGAGCATTGCAGCAGTATGCAAGGGCCAGGGTAGGTCCTTCTCCCCATCTCCTGCAGTCACAGGTCCTGGGGAAATGGGAGCTCGTGAAGAGCTGGATGGAAGAGGTTTCAGTACAGGTCAGCTGGGATCAGCTCTTACGTCATGTAGACATTTTGGAGCAGTGATGTTGGCCAGCAACAGACCTCGCTCCAAGTTGTACCCTCTGGAGTGGCTACTTAAGAGTTCAACTTTGACCCTTCCTGAGCACAAGGAACACAGGGTACAAAAGCATGGGAAAATAGCTGCCACTTAGACCATGCCATGTGTTTTTTCTGGATTAAATGCCAAGTTTTATTTTTACAGTTTTTAGAGATATTGGGATTAAACTCTAATGGTAAAGAACAAAGGTACATGCATTCTCTTCCTGCTCTGACACAATCACTTCATGCACTACACAGAAATATTGGCCTCGTGTTTACAGAACTATGCCAATTTTGAGTTACTAGATGGAAATGAGTCTCATGTGATAGCCTACCAAAGAGATCTGTCTGACCTGAGAACTGAAGTAGTTCTGACAACACACCTTCAGGAACACCTTAGAGGATGCTGGAGAAAATGTGACCCTTCCTTCTTTCAAAATATGAGGCTCTATAGTTAAATTTTTTTTTTCCTGGTTGCTAGTTTGGGCCAGTATGAGCTTCCATAATATAACCAAACCCATCCGTGTTACTGCAGTAAGCCCGGATCCAAAGGTGTCTTGCAATATCTGCTCAATCTGGCCACTTGGTGGTGCAGAACAATAAGATATATCTCTGTAAGTGCAAGCAAAGAGCACTCCCCAGATCCTAAACTGTTTCCCTCAGCCCATCTCCAGTAGTGCATGGGACCTGTAATAAAAGAGTCAAAGGTAGCTTTTGCTGCACGACAGCCGCTGACACCCACAGCCGGCGTACAGCCAAATCCTTCGCCGCGGCCACGCAAGTCTGCGATGAGGAAATGGATGGTCTGGGTCTAAGAAATATGTGGAGTTTTCTGGAATGCAACAAAGCGTTACCTTGCCAAAGACGACGAGGAATTAGCGTTGTTGCTAAATGCTTGTGCATTCATTTACCACTGTAAACACTGGGAAAAAAAATATGAGGGCAAAGACTCAAGGTCAGCTCCTTGGCTGCTCCCCTTGGGCTGCACGGGAAGGAACGAAGCCCTGAAGGGGAGAGGAGGATTTCTCTGCAGATGGCAGAGCCTTAGGAATAATCACAGCCTATGCACATTAGAGTAACTTTCTCTCTTCCACGCTATTCAGCCCCAATTGCTGCTAAGATCAGGAGGCTGATAAGTGGCAGAAAATTACCTTTGCTCCCTTCCTCAAGTGATCTCACCTGGCTCTGCAGTAAGTGGTACTAATAGGCGGCCTTGGCCACTGCCATGTGATGCTAGCCCTGTGTGGACCTGCTGCATGGAAAGGGTAAGTGTGTCTCTATTTTTTCAGTTTATCAGGAACTTTAATATTCCTGATGTAGACACCTGGGTATTTGAGATTTCCCATGCACTAGTACTGAGTCTGAGA